CACAAACTACTTCATGCAACACGTATCGGAATCTTGTTTAAGCCCTCGAACAGTCACTGCTTAACTTCACGGGTTGATGTATTTCACTTCATTCCAGTCGAATAAGTTTTCGTTTCTATGTAGGCTTCGGGACTACTCTATACATGTTACCCAAAGCGTTATTTCTTAAGATTTGCCAGAATCGTTTGATGGCAAGTTTGCTGTGTCATCACCGAATAGGGCTCCAACGTTCTGATTCTTAAGCATACATATATCAACCAAAGCGCTATAGGCCAACTTCACACTGCACTCACTTATATCTCAGCTCGGTATGTGCCATGAGCTAATCTCACGATGAGACGTTGTCATCACAGGCTGTCTCTATGACACAACCTACATACTTTAAGCAAATCTAACCAGAAGACGACGCCGGGTCACTCTTGATTAGCTGTTGATTGGCTTTACTGGAACATTCTTGTTGACGCTGCTTTGATGCAATCTCCTTCTAATTCGATGAAAAAGCACTAAGATTTCGTCCATCATATGAAGGACATCATCAGAGTAGGGTATCCTCTCTACGACCATATTCAAGCAAGCAAGTCGCTTCACTAAACATTTTCATTTGAAATTGAAGCAAGTTCAACAATTATGAAACAAGAGATTACTCGAAACCAGACTTTTATTTGCACATACTTTAAGCCAACTGATGACTTGAAACTCCGTCGCATCTCAATTGGATCGGTATTCGAACAGGCCTCGAGCTACCGTCCATAATGACAGACCCCTATAATGTTTGTGAATATTACTCTCCCTATTCCGTTTAGTTCAAGACCTCAAGTTTTAGCTCTTTCCTTGAGTTAACTACACCCACTTCAAAGCTATTTTCTCTCGATTTACGTATATTTTTCACCTGCTTCTTCCTTGTGATCCCTTTTCCTATATCGAATGATAGATTCTATCTATGAACTTAAATACCATAACGTCAGGTGGCATGTTTGACTATATATTGTCTTTTTTGCCTGCTATAGTTAGTGCATTCCTTTGCAATCTTAATTATTTATAGAAGTGGGTTGACCTCGTTGTCGCAACTTGGTCTTGTTGTCCGGGAGAATTGGTAGAACGCACCTAGTCCAAAGTTCTCTGCCATAGTAATTATCACAATTCCCAGCATCAGACGAGATCAACCCACTTTTATAAATTGAAAGGGGACTGCGACCATACCGGAGGCCACACCATCTTGGTCCATGTATCTTTATTATTTAGTTTAACAGCAGAATTGAAGGTCCAGATGGATTGGCCTCCATTTTGGTCACAGTTTCCTTTCGCTGTGGAGGATTGAGGTCACAGTAGACATGCTATCAAACGATTGTGGTAGACCACGGGAAATAATGGTTTGATTAAAATGTATACAGAGGCTAGAAACGAGTAAAATGAGTCAATCATAAGATAAAAATGGATCTTCGAGGGCAAGATGGAGATTCGTATAGGAGCTGAATCGTCCAAGTCAGGGCAAAGAAAATCAGGTGTGATAACACCTAAAAAAACTCGCTTAAAAGAGTGTACTTCTGTAATAGCCCGAGGGACTTCATGCATGGGCTTTACTTAGTAGCTATGGCAACCAAGAATGCGTGGTCTTGCATTTAATCGCAATCTCCTTTAGCTTTATAGTGCTGGTTTCACCTCGTCTTTGCAACGTGTTCGGAGCATCAGGGAGACCTTGTGGAACGTACGTAACCATGTGTCCTCCGCCATAATATTCGCGATTTCCGACTAGGATGCAGATAAAGCGTTAAGTCGATGGTCAGATGCCGGAAATCACGAATATTGTGTCAGAGGACGCATGACTAGGCGGTTTCCATAAGGTCTACCGTATGCTCCGACCAAGTTGCGAAAACGAGGTTAAGCCAATACTATGGATTTCACAGAGTTGTAGTCTAGTGCAAAGATTGGCGAGCCTCAGTGGCGATGTCGAAGAATTATTATAACTACTTCAGATAGGCTGTGCTCATCTAGATCACTATGACAGCATGATCAAGCTGCAAAAACGAGGTCAAACTACTTCAATACGTTCTAGTTAATGAGAAAGAAAGGTGAACTTTCGGAGTGGTGGGCAGAATGAGTGTCTAAATTGTGAGATATATCAAATACTTAATATATAAGCATGTTTATAAAGGTGCATAATCAGCAAGATATTCAATTTATAATAATTGCCAATTAGATCATAAAATGCCTTTTATATTGATTTAAATATCAGGGATATAGAAAGGGGTTTTAATCAGGTTCATCTTATAAATAGAAACCGATCCTCAGTAAGCGGTTTCGTCAACAAAAGTCCATCTGTAGTTCGCAAGTTACCTCCTGTTTGGTGTATGGACTGGCCTCGAGGTCAAGTAGGTCTATACATTTTTCTGGCAAGCCTACACTTTGAATCGCGGAAGTTTGTAATTCCGATTCTGTCCGAAAGACAAGTATAGCCAGTGAGTTCATATGCCGAATCAAATGCTGGAAATGATAAAAAAAGATTTATTATAAATATTAGAAAGGGAATCAAAATTTGGCTTTAACAGGAAATCCATTTCAGCTTTCTAGTGCGCTGAAAGTTTATATTAATAATTTTATTGGGGAGACATTCATTGTGTATGAAGGTGTATGAAGAAGATATTTGTAGGTCGATCTCACCAGAAAATGACGGCTGAATCCCATTTTATTTCAACCATTTGGCTTTAATATGACGTTCAGGTTGACGTGGTTCACAAGACACTCTCCCTCTTTAGGGGTAAAAACGGGCTGAGCTTTAGTCCATCTTTTGGTGGACATAGTCAAAGATGGAATTCATTCTTATAAAGATCTCTCGCTAACATTAGGTCAAGAAGGATATCCTACTCTATCTTACCTCTTAAATAGACTCAATTAAGCAAAAATAACTTAATAGGCATATGTAGATATAGAATAATTTTACTAATTATCTTTCGTATTAGTCCTGCTACTTTTGCAGGACCGT